GACTTACAAAATGTGCTCTACCCTCCTGACCGACTGTGGGTGAAAAACCACACGTGTTCACAGCCTCCATGAGATAACAACCGAGGGAAACTATAAATGCATTATTTCTTGTCTCCTTACTGCCCTTCCTGGGGTTTCGCCTATGTTCAGCTCAGGCCAACTCACTTAGAGGAAGTCAATGCGTTTTACAACCCATTGAGCGTTTGGTGTATTTGGAAGGAAAAACCATGTGATCCTTCTATTGTCAGAAGACGAAAAGACCCTTACTTAATAAAAACTTGTGATGTAGTTGAACTACGTGCTAATCTCATTCAAGAAATAACGGCATTCTCCTCTTCCGAACAGGTAATTTCGCAGGAGGTAAAGAAAGCCTCTCAAACAAGGCATGATCATACATTGTCTCAATCCGTACATCGCAGCGAATTGCGTTGTTATCGCTATGACGAGCAGCATTCTGATCCGGCTAATTCCCAGCATCTTCACTCATTATGCAGGTATTGTGGGAAAAGAGGACATATTCAGAAAGTTGGTCCTTCCGAACGAAATTGCGTTGTGCAGGGAAGTCCAAAAACTGCGAATCACATTACTGATGATCTAAACAGCTCCAGTTAAATTTGCTGAGCGGTTTAAGCGCGAAAAAAACGGGTCATGAAAATAGGGTGCTGTCGGTTGTTCTTTTCACATTCAAAAACGATTTTTTATTTTTATACCTGTTCACAAAATGATTTTTAGTCTCGGGCGCGGGGGGGGGGTTAAAATCGTTTGGGCAGTGAACCATCGAGAGGTAACCTCTCTATGCATGTGCCCACATACAATCTCCTGGTGCACACCTAGCAATGATGCAAGCAGTCAAGGTAAGTTGAAAGCAGGAAAAACCTCCTTTTCAAAAAGCGGACGATATTCACACGGTTCTCAAATGGATGCGGCGGATAACCTGTGGTCTGCAATATGCTTCGACCTTTCAGCGCGTTCATGGGCCACCCAACCTTCCGGGAGATTTGCCCTCTAACCCCAAACCTCTCTCATATATCCATCAATGGTCATAAAGCGCACTGTGAAAACCATTGGGTACTCATAATCACAGCTGTCTTGGACCTGTTATTATTCAAACGAAGTCATTTATACCACTAGGAGGAAGCTTGGCCAAACATTTGGCTCGATGATTCCAACCATGTTTGAACCAAATGTATGTGCCCGACATGTGGAACCACGCGATGATTACTCCTATTCACAAGGGAGGTAGTCATTCGGATCCAGCTAACTACCGTCCCTGAATCCTACTACCGGTATTTTCAAAGTTCATGGAAGCTATTTTTACCGATTTGCTAAAGACCCACTTGAAAGCACTTAACTACATTGCACAGCAGCCTTTAGTGCTTTAGGCGGATGTCGTCGGCTGTCGGAGAGCTATGATCGCGCAATGAGAGAAATTTCCTTAGCCTAGTTTCTAGGTTTAAAATCACACCTGTAAACTCTGGAGTCGGCTGTGGGCGTGATGTTCTGTGAGAGGTATTTGAAAGGTAGAGACTGCGAGTTCACAAATTAGAGCGTATGGCATTCGCAGGGCATTGGCTGCCTCGGCGGCGTTTGGTACCCTACCGCCATTTGTGAAAAATGGAAAGATACCCTGTTTTACTTTAGGAAGACAGGAAAGTCAACCAACACTTCTGCTTATTACGAGAGCATTCCGGTGATCCTACCTTTCCATGGCTTCCCAAAGGCTTGGTGTCTAGTCTGGACCCATTCAGAATATCTCAGTATAGCCGCCTGGGTTTGCTAACCCTGGAGCTCTTTCCCAAACTTAGTTGTTTCCACCCCATTATTGGAAATCGGCAAGAAGCGATTAGATCTTGTCTTTGATTCACAACACTTCGTTGCCTAAACTGTACTACTTTGGAATATATTAATTATCCCTTCAAACCGGATTAATTTGTCACATAAACCTGAGGAGGCGGTACAGAAATGAGTATTCTTCCTTTTATATTTTCTCGGAGTACTTCAACTATAACTACCCCCCATGTTGCCTCGTCATTCACATTCAAGTCTCACGCACACTAACATTATTCAGCGGCGTACCTGATAGATAACGCTTCAAACAGACAATTTCACAGATCTGTTGCTATTCGTAGTGGTACCCTACTCATCCTGTGGGACTTTGAGCTAAGTATATGGTTTTCTTGCCCGACCTTAATCATTCATTCGGTTGTGCAGTTAATCTTCAGCGGTGGTTGCCATTGCAAGAACATGATCTTGTCGCAATCGAAATGGCCATAACACAAGAAAAACCCAAAAACGTTGGGGGGTATGTTCCAGTTTCATCACCAACTGATGACTGAAAAAGTTCGGGGAAGTTAACAGTAGACAATACCGGTGCATGCCGTTGCAACCGTAATGACTAAATAGAATATGAAATAATACAAACCATATATCATTACCAACTTATAAAACTAAACCAAAACACCACACTGAGAGTTCAACAACTAGAACTGGCCACCATGCACTGCAGGTTGGAATACGGCCAGAATTACTTTCCGGTTCGTTTGTGCCAAACTTGGAATGCCCTCCCTAATTACGTGGTGTCTTCCACATTATTATTTTAATTCAAGAAGCGTTTTGATAGTTCACTCGTTTACAGCAAGCGACATAGCTTTTTTGTATAAGTATCAACATAAAACAAACAGCTGGTTTGCTCCACTTGACTCCCTTGTGAATTCACAAATAAACAGTTTGTTTTTCCGAATCGCCAACTTACATTAGCCCTCTTGGCCCATAACAAGCTATTAGTTTTTTTGATTGATTCATGTGCGATTTGAGATGTGGGTGCTTAAGGAAAAGTATCAACATATTTCCAAATCTTCCGTCGCTTAAATACGTTGATGACGCATCGAGGGTCTCGGAAAAGCGGGAGCATATCGAGATTTTGAATAAATTAGCCTAATCTTTGAACTCATATCCCTTCCCCTCCCGAACTCGGTTAGTGGGAAGCAACAAGTGTATGTGAAACGCAGATATATGAGTGAACTAGACGTCTGCTTACACTTTATTATTCTATCTGATTGGCGCGTCGTATTCTGGAAAAAAATTAGTTTTTTAACCATTACACCTTATTCCGGTTTCCATCCTTTTGCATACTACATGGTATTTGTGAATTCACAATAGTTCCAAACAAAAATCTCGGAAGGTTCCATCTCTTGTACTTAGGTTTGAGGCTGATACTTCATAGAGAGGGTTATGAACAGAAGTCTTACGGAAGTTGCGAACAAAATTTGAAGCTAACCACTTGCAAGTTTTGCATCCGGTCTATAAACTGAACCTGAACCCGATAAAATCGTAAAGATAAGTGTCACTGATATATTCAGTGAAGAAATACCGAGCAAAGCCGCTACTATTGCATCTTTTATTCCAGGTCATCCACTCATCTAAATATCTGGTGTGGCGGATATCCCACAACATTATTCTATATATAGGGAATAGGTCATGTCCAGACATATTTCAGAATAGTCCTAAAGGCAAGCATCATACAAACTGGAGCAAACGCACGAAAGCGCGCCCCTCGTTGAGTGAATAATCCCAAATCAACTAATAGCATATCAGACGAGTTTACAACACGGTCCCAATGATCGCAGTGACTAAGGTTCATTTCAATGTGAATCACAGTCCATTACATTGAGATTGCGTGTCGCAATCCAATCACACAACGTGTAATCCAAAGTTGACCCTCCAATTAGTCATTTACCGTTGTGCCAAAAAGCGTTGCACACGGTGACCCGGTAGCCAAAGAGGTAGTGGTTTCGGCTACTATTCCAATGGTCGCGGGATCGAGGCCTGCTGTCTCCACCTGATGAGATGAAATTACATCGAAACGCGTCGTGGTTGTGCAGTGTTTTCGGGTGGGCAACACCCAATTTCCATCTGCTTGGAGTGCGGTCCCAGTGATCGCAGTGACTAAGGTTCATTTCAATGTGAATCACAGCCCATTACATTGAGATTGCTTGTCGCAATCCAATCACACAACGTGTAGTCCAAATTTGGCCTTCCAGTGTTTTCGGGTGGGCAACACCCAATTTCCGTCTAGTTAACAACATGAGTTATCAGTGAAGGCCTGGGTGTGGCGCAGCTCACATGCGAGTTGGTGGGTGCCTAGTCGCGCTCCACACTCGGATTCAGGCATGCTTGGCTACACCGAAGCCACACACATGCTAGGGTGTATATTCGCAAAACTCACGTGGTGCCATTTGGGCTTAACAGTCACGAGTGTTTGGCACGTAGCATTTCAGACAACTCCATTTCTACGTGGAATATGATTGCGCGGTGTGTCCGCCCATTTCATCGCTGAGCTGTCCGTATGCTGCGAGCCACCCACGTGAATGAGTGCGAAAGAATTGGCCCTTGGGAATAATGACGTGAAAACGCTAACACGTACCGTTGTCGATGATCGGATGGCACGGAAGTTGGACAAGTACCACAAGTGGGGCTTGGAAAACGTGTGGACCGCGGTGTGTTTCGGGGTGTCGCATGCTCACTGGGCGCAATCTTGTAATATCCGCGTTTGATGGGTGTAGCGAATCGAACCAGCATGAGTGCGCGCGCAGTGCACATTGGCACCCTTACCGAGGTTTCCCTCGCCTATTGCATTTGTCATCTCGTTGTTCGACTGAGAATGCTCCTAAGAGATATTTCATATCGTTGCATGATGATTCAGATTGCGGTTGCTAAGACATGTAACTGCCTGAGTGGCTCCTACAACCGTACTCACACATGAGTTTTATTGTTGCGGAACAGACCGAGTGTGGTGTTGTTCCAGTAGCGACACACACAAACCGAAAAAGGAATTCCGCAACACTCGAGGCGGTAGTACGATGCTGCCAGTTGCAAGGAATGGTCCCAATTATGTGTTATTGCTAACCTGCAGTAAATAGCAACATACATGATTTGGTTAACCCAGCAAAAAGCAATAATTAGCAATACTCCTGATTCCGCCACTTTTCATTTGGCCAGGTATGTAAGCTTCAAAAATCGCTTAGGATAGTTGGACAACGCGTAGGGCACCGATTCGCGGCCTCCGACAGGGGATCAATGAGCGACAAGGATCGGAGTTGGTGTGTAGGCACCGGAGAAACAAAAAAGCCACAGTCGATGCTGAACTACGGTGTTCTATTATACAAAGAGTAAAAGATCAAAGTGACAACATACCAACAATGTCCTCAAACAAAGACAAGTACAATCAGTTGGCCGTTACAAGAACAGGACATCAATACGGTCGTCCAGTCAGCAAAATGACCCAGCGCGGTTACATGACATGCGAGACATGCACCAGTGAGCCAATCAAGAAACCAACAGCCACTAGTCCAATCACATCAAGCAGGTTCAATGGGGGACACATTATGAAGACCTGAGGTTAGGGGCACATGTCAGCCGGATGGGTGGTGTGTCCACCCCACAAAATCTCCGGTCTACCCTGACCTCAATAGTAACACGCAAATGGAACAAGTGCGAAGCAGTGATCGATAAAGTGGAGCATGCATAACAAAGGAAGTAGCGAGACAGGTGGTGTCACCAATGTAAGGTGGGCATGGAAAACAAACGACTAAGGGTCATGCAGGGCGGTATACGTGGAACGTTCAAACAGAGTGAATTCAAGGGGAATTAGGGCAATAATGTGGGTCCAGGCAAAGGGTGATGGCTGTTGACAAAATGGACGTTACACTCCCCCGCGAAAATCTGTCCCGGATTTTCCAGTGGTTGAGGACGACACGTTCTGTTCTGGATCGCCCTACGCCAACTCCATCCGCTATGGGAGGTCACAGGACTTACAACGGTACGCCTGATCCCTCCCACTTCGGCTGTTGGACTCACAGTGGTCCTCCCTGGAGCAGCAGATCCGAAGACCCGCCTCCCACCTGCGGAGAGCCAACAGCCGGAACTACATTCCCACCCGTGTCACTTCCTTCTAACAAACAGAGCTTACGCACGTCTCTTTTGTACAACCCTTCCTTTGTTCTGACAACAGCCGTCCTGACGAGCCCATCTCCAGAATCAGTGCAGCTCTCAATAACTCCCAATGGCCATGTTCCACGCGAGCTCGCTTCAGAAGAGACCAAAACCACGTCACCTGGTCTAAAATTTCGACTGCTGTGTAACCACTTTTGTCTCGATTGCAACAACGGCAAATACTCTCTGACCCATCTTTTCCAGAACAACGCAGTTAGGTAATTCACCTGTCGCCAACAGCGGTTATATTCTTCAGGCAGGGCCGTTAATATATGCGTTGCGTTGGATCGCAATATCAGCAAATCGTTAGGTGTAAGTGCCTCGCGATCGTTGGGGTCCGAAGTTAGCGGTACAAGTGGTCTACTGTTGACGATGCGCTCCGCTTCAATAAGGAGAGTGTTCAGTGTCTCGTCATCCAACGTCTGCTGCCCTGCGACAGATAACAGGATCCGCCTAACAGACCTAATGATGCGTTCCCAAATACCACCTCTGTGACTGGCCATCGGTGGGTTGTAGTGCCACTGCACTCCTATACTCAGTAGCTTATCATTGATCTTTGCTTGTGACCAGCTCTTCATGGCAGTACGCAACTCAGTAGCAGCACCCACAAAATTGCCCCCATTATCACTGAATATTTCGGCCGGGGTCCCTCTGCGGGCAACAAATCGTTTCAGGGCCATGATAAAAGAGTCAGTACTCAATGTAGGTGAGAGTTCGATGTGTACGGCTCGTGCTTGCATACATGTAAATAGGCATCCATAGCGCTTCTCTTGTCTCCGCCCGTGTTTAACAATAAATGGTCCGAAATAATCCACGCCGACAAACTTGAAGGGGTGCCATCCCCGTTCCACACGGGCTAGCGGCAACGGTGCCATTAGCTGTTGACCGGCAGTGGTGAGTCTTTTTTTGCATGTCCAACAAGTTCCTATTAACCGCTTTACTGCCGCCATTCCACGAACTATCCAATATTTACGGCGTAGACTCGCCAGAACTTGAGAAACACCTGCGTGACCTTCCAGCAAGTGATAAAAGCGGATCAACAAATCGGTGACAGTGTGCTTGGGAGGTAGTATAATTGGAAACTTAAAGGAAGCTTCGTACTCCGAGTAGGCCAACCTACCACCTAGACAATGCAAGCCATCACGCATTATTGGGTGTAGTCGCGCCAGAGGACCTCGCAGTATTTCCCCCTTAGGAGACGCCGAGTCCCCCGCTATCTTTTCGAGTCGTGTTAGTTCCGCTCGATAAAATTCGAGCTGCGCGATTCGAATGACGTCGTACACGGCCCTGTGTAGTTCCTTTAGAGTAATTAATCGAGCATGTTGCAGCACTCCACTGGTTCCACACCTTCGAGCATTCTGGTACTGCTTGAATCGAGACAGCCACACACCAGTCCTTAACAACTTAACCCAGTCTGAATACCCTTGGATTAGAGTAGACAATGGTGTTTCCTTTGAGGTTGCGTAGACCTGAACAGTAGAATGCTTCAGTTCTGCATCTTCCGGCTCGCAACTAAGGCAGAATTCGGGCCAATCATCGTTCTCGCTCAGCAGAAAATCTGGCCCGAGGAACCAGTTCTTTAAAGAGACTAGAGATGTAGTACCTCTTGATAGCGGATCAGCAGGATTGCAACCGGATTTGACGTGTTTCCATTGGCTGGGGGTGGACAATTCATGGATGATTGTCAGTCGGTTGGCGACGAAGGTGCTAAACCTTTTAGATTCATCATTTATGTAATATAAGACCGTGGAAGATTCTGTCCAGAACAATACCTTTTCGAAAACTAACTGAGCCCTCTCGGTCACATCCTCATACAGCTTCGTTGCAAGCACGGCCGCCGACAATTCCAACCGTGGGATTGACACAGCCTTTAGAGGGGCTATTCTTGACTTAGCATATAACATTGAGCAGTATGCGATGTTCTCAGTGCGAAACCTAGCATAAGCAACCGCACCATATCCATTCTCTGAAGCATCACAAAAGATGTGCAATTGTGGCCACTCTTCAGGCCCAGTGAACCTGCGAATGCACCGGGGTATCTTCAAAACATTTAGAGCCTTCATTTCACTTAACCACGCACTCCAGATTTTTTCGTATGCGCTAGTGATCGGGTCATCCCAGTGCGCCTTGTCGCGACACATCATTTGAAGGAGTAACTTCGCGGGCATAATTAAAGGGGCAATAAAACCCAAGGGGTCATAAATGGACGATACCGCAGACAAGATGCCCCTTCTCGTTTTCGGCCTATCTGGTATTGCGAACTGATAAAGAAAGGCGTCCTCACGAGAATCCCAAGCTATCCCCAGTGTTCGGTTCACCGATCCAGATGCTTCAGCCAAAGGCTTGACTGACCCGGTGACCTCTGTAAAAGGAATCGCACTATACACCCCTTCGTGGCTGTTGACCCATTCACACAACTTGAACCCTCCTTTGCTCAGCATCTCCCTGATCTGTGCCACAAATTGCGTCGCTTCTTCAACAGTTGGTAGTGAGATCAGAAGATCGTCGACGTAGAAGTTATGGTGTACTGCTGCGGCTACACTCTCATTATAATGACATCCCCATTCGCTAGCTGTTCGACGAAAGGGAAAGTTGGCACAAAACGGTGATGAAGTGGCTCCAATTGGATGTGCCGTCATTTGATACTCGATCACTTCCGAGCCAATCTCGTCTTCCTTCCACCAAAGGAAGCGTAGCGCACCTCTGTCACTCATGGGCACCTTCACCTGCATAAACATATCTTCAATGTCTGCAGAAACCGCTACCATCTCAACCCTAAAACGCAGTAGGACTCCAATTAGATCCGCGGTAGTGTCTGGTCCTTGAAATAGTTGATCGTTTAGGGAAAGCCCTTTGTGCCTTGTGGCGCAATCAAACACCACTCTAAGTTTGTCCGGCTTCTTTGGATTAATCACTGCGTGGTGCGGTAAATACCATTTTGGTGCAAAGCCTGGTTGGAAGGGTGCAGGTGGCACCAAAACTGCGTATCCTTTAGTCCTGCTTATTTCCAATGCCGCCGTTTACCTTTCGCGCAATGTTGGATTGTTTAGTAGTCGTCGACTCAAACAGTGCAATCTGTGCCTAGCTGACCCATAAGTATTTGGCACAACTGCTTATCGATTTCTCCAACGTAGACCCATTTCGCAGTGTCCCTTCACTAGTCGTATACAATTTTCAGCGATGGACAGTGCTGTCTTATCCTCTATGGAGAGAGAGCGGGCGCTGGAGCCGACATCTTCGAACCCACCATCATACAACATTTTAAGTTGTGCTTCTAGCAAATGATCATCCACTTGCACACAGTTTACGGAAGCGCAATGCTGACCACTCATGTTCACAGGCCCCAACAATATCCAGCCGAGTAGGGTTTTCGCGGCAAACGGGTGTTCTCTACCACAAGTACGGCGTTCAATTTGCCAATGTGCTTCGGGTACATCTGCACCTATCAATACTCGGACTCTGTTATCCGTCAGATCATCAAAATGGATGTCCGATAAGTGTGGCCAGTGCTTTGCCAGCTGACATCAAGCGTTTCCCTCTGATCGTAATGGCAAGCGCTTCAAGCAGTAGGCACGTTCAACTGTGACGTAGTCTGCACTTCTCAACGCCGACAAGCGGAAATTGGCCACACCTGCTTGCAAGGATGTAATACCACTTATTGTCTGCATCGTCAAAGATGTAGGGTCAACGTTTACGCCCGCCTCCTGCAAAAGGTCCTCCTGCACTAGCGTCACATCCGAACCAGTGTCTAACAAAGCATAAGTGTTAATTGACCTTAACGGGCCATCTAAACGCACTGGTACCACGCCCAGAGAGACCCTGTTGGGAGAGGTAGCGGCCGCATTACAAGTATTTGAGTAATCCTGGGGAGTAACAGGGGCTCTGTCGCGATGTAACAACGAGTGATGCCACCCCTTACACGTAGACAGGCTGCATCCTTTATTGCTGCGACAGCTTGAAGCTCGGTGACCCAACCCTAGACAGTTGTAGCATCCACCGGTTGTTCTGACAATTTCCCAACGAGCCGGGACAACCATAGCTAAGAATTTCTCACACGATGCTACACTGTGTTCGCCGCAACAAACTAGACAAGCCGATCCATTGGCCTTCTCTGATACTGTGTAAAGGGAGAAGTTCCTAGTTTTTCCCTGATCAGCTAATCTTGACGGCTGTGCGGTAGTCTGGCTTCGTGGTGTACTCGCGGTCGCTATTTGGCCGAATCTACTACGAGCTACTCTCGCCTCAGCAGCAACAAAGTCTCCCAAATCTCGAAATTCAACTTCTCCTCCGCGTTGAATTATAGCATCTGCCACCCTGGCCCATCGAGATTGCAAAGCATTGGGCAAACTACGAACCACTCGTTCAATGGTGGCTATAGATTTCAAATCGGCCGTGAAATTCATCTGAGATAGAGCTAGATGGCAGTTTTCCATCTTCAGTGACAATTGCGACAAAGCCTCACAGTCGTCCCTAAGGGGCCTTAGACCAGTAAGCAAACCATCGATCAAGGAGCGAGCAATGACATGATTTTGACCAAAAAGATTTTGAAGAATGCATCGAGCCCTGTTATAAGCCAACTCTGGTGGAAGTATCGTGCATTCACAAATTGCCTCCTTAGCACGCCCTCTGCAATAATACACAAGGTACAGCAACAGCTGGCCGCTATCACTTACGCGACCCTCAACGAAGTATTCAAACTGTTTGATGAACCTCCAATAAGTCATCGGATTACCATCAAAAAATTCTAACACGACTCTCGTCAGCTCTCGTGGCGGTTGACAAGCTCCCAAAAACGGGTGGTAATACGGCATAGGGGTAACTGGAGGTGGCACTGCTTCTTGACAATCCTTCAAAAACTGACTCATACGTTCCTTTCTGATTTCAGGCACATGACTTGAGGTGGCGAGATGTTCATGGCTGTTCGCGCCCACTTCTATTTCTAACCGTAACTTAGCAATCTCCAGCTCAGTTTCGGCTTGCTTTCTCTTAAGCTCCGCCAGCCTAACAGCAGAACGTGCACTAACCGAACTTCGAGCCTGACTATCCTTACAGGTATTATGCGATCCAGAACAAGAAACATTATCGTCAACAACAGGCAAATATTCAACTTGCCGGGATCCAATCGTGTTCTGTTCAAGAATCATAGACGTCTTCTTTCGTGTTTCCATTGCAAGTCCAAAAGAGTGACGTCTTCAAACAAAGGATTGTTGAACACTGTAAGCTTCAAAAATCGCTTAGGATAGTTGGACAACGCGTAGGGCACCGATTCGCGGCCTCCGACAGGGGATCAATGAGCGACAAGGATCGGAGTTGGTGTGTAGGCACCGGAGAAACAAAAAAGCCACAGTCGATGCTGAACTACGGTGCTATTATACAAAGAGTAAAAGATCAAAGTGACAACATACTTCAACAATGTCCTCAAACAAAGACAAGTACAATCAGTTGGCCGTTACAAGAACAGGACATCAATACGGTCGTCCAGTCAGCAAAATGACCCAGCGCGGTTACATGACATGCGAGACATGCACCAGTGAGCCAATCAAGAAACCAACAGCCACTAGTCCAATCACATCAAGCAGGTTCAATGGGGGACACATTATGAAGACCTGAGGTTAGGGGCACATGTCAGCCGGATGGGTGGTGTGTCCACCCCACAAAATCTCCGGTCTACCCTGACCTCAATAGTAACACGCAAATGGAACAAGTGCGAAGCAGTGATCGATAAAGTGGAGCATGCATCAAAGAAAGTAGCGAGACAGGTGGTGTCACCAATGTAAGGTGGGCATGGAAAACAAACGACTAAGGGTCATGCAGGGCGGTATACGTGGAACGTTCAAACAGAGTGAATTCAAGGGGAATTAGGGCAATAATGTGGGTCCAGGCGAAGGGTGATGGCTGTTGACAAAATGGACGTTACAAGGTATGTGTTTCTAGGACGCACTTGGAAACCGGACGTTGAGTCTGCTGCAGTTCAGTAACATCATCCTTCAGTTTTGGTTGCCATTCTTGAATTCCTTGTTCTACCTACTTGTTCCCACCTTGTACTAACATTTCTGTTAGATCAGAACAATCTGTCATCCTGAACTAGTGAGGCAAGTCAGGTTCGACGATAAAAACTGTAGGGTCTGCGTTTCGAACCTATGGTAGTAGAAGATGTGGTATCATATGCAGAGTATCTCACACGCGGATAGTCAACCTAGCTACGAGTTTTGACTCCTACAGATGCACGGCTGTCGAAAAAAATGTGGAGATTTGTGAAAAAAGCTTTGCTATCATCAATAAATGTTAGTAGGGCAGTATAGTGGAAACTGTTCCCATGAGCGTAGGTAAGTCTGAGACTGATAGGACACAGTACATCAGAGATGTAGTGGAGAAACAAATCCCATCGCGACGCGACTGGACTATATCTGGATGCGATGTTTTGCGTACCTTCGTGGCCTATTGAGCTTCGCTCGGTGGCATTTTCTAGGTATCATCAGGACTGCTCATACCACACGTGTCAATGGATAGGGGTCGGACTTGCTCGGTTTCACAATCCATTACAATTGTTGGTAGAGGACCCTGGTCATTTTCCTTGAGGACGGACACGGGAGACAACAGGTTTTAGATTAAAAAGGTGGGTCCAATTCAGCCATTTCGTTAAGGCACAGAGAAGACATAGGTTGCGATATGTCAACATTTCGATGGTTCCCTTTAGTCGCAAACAGAATACGAGCAGAAACACACAAGGGATTATATGCATGGAAAAAAACACCACCAATCAAAAAGTCACAGTCAAGTCCAGGGCAACCGGATTGATTGCATCAAGAGTTTCTGTGCACATAGCACAGGTTGATAGGCCTTAATTAACAACGCCTTAATATTTGCCAGCAGTAGGGGGTTTTCTGTTGCGTAACAACACTTTGAACGCTGTCTCGGTGTTCATGTGATGACGGGTTGTCATGAGATGCTTGGTGATAGACGATGTCGGGCTCGATTGATTCCCAGATTCGTCCCAAGTTATTGCGTAATCACTAGTCCCAATCACTTTGGCAAATGTTCAGCCACCGACTGAGCTAACTGACGGTTTGTTCTGCCTATGTAAGTGTCATTGCAACCGCAGGTGAAATGATAAACAACGTAAGGCCGAACTACCTGACGAGATACTCTGACGGGTATGAAGAACAAGTGCTCGCGTGGTATGCCCGAGTCGCAACTGCGCTGTAGTGTAGGTTTGCGTTAAGGCGTACCTGAGCTTGCGTCCGATATTTGCCACATGGTCCCCTTGAACGGCAAGAACAAATAAACATGCTTTTTATCAGCCTTTAACTCCCGTGTTTTCACGTTGGGAGGTCTGCCGTGTACGTGAATAAATTTCTCAGGATAGCCATTAGAAAGTAAGGTCTTGAGTAGAAATACTTCCTCGGCTTGTAACGTTTCGGGACTGCAAATACGTCTAGCCCGGTAGAAGAGAGTTCTCACTAAGCCGCGTTTGTATGCGATCGGAACGAAGCTTGAAAAATGATGCTACTGTCCATTCCATGTTGGTTTGCGGTGAACAGTGTGCTGTAACGTACCTTCAGCCCGTCTCCTAATGAGTATATCCAAAAACGACACACAATTGTGTTGTGCCACTTCATGGGAGACGGACAGATTTAGGTGACTCGAATTTAGGATGGTCAGCATCCGGTTAAAAGGTTCTCCGCTGGTGAAAACTAGTATGTCATGCACATATCGTCTGTACAATTTCGCCTCACCAATGCTGGCAGCAAATTGTTTTTCTATCAGGCCGAGGAAGATGTCGCCTAAAACTGGTCCCAAAGGGCTGCCCATAGCGACCCCGTCGACCTGTTTGTATGCGGTCCCCTCAAATTCAAACCGTATATTCATGATGAACAATAGAATCATATCCTTTAAATAGTCCACTGGCAGGCCAACAGACATATTATGACTCGAGATAAAATCACATTACTTATCAACCGTCTCACGCAAAGGCACGTTTGTAAATAAGGAGTCTACATATATTGAGTACCTAAGCTCAGCACTCAGTGACAATTGTTCTAGCGTCGCAGCCAGTTCGTCAGGAACTGTCCGCACCGAGCGGTCGCAGTAAAAGTGTCCTGCGTTATTCGCCCTGAAATCTTGGGATTTATTCTCACAGTGACCTACGTACTATCATTCGATTGGGCTCTGCGAACTCCTTCTACCTCTGTTCACCTTTCGGAGCTGTCATTCCCGGATCAGCAGCAAACTGTGCTGTTGCAATTTCGAAGTCAACCGTGCTTGAATTTTATCGGACCATTTATTTTTCCTATCTTCGCACAAGAACTCTGGTGGTCTTATTTTAAAAAAACTTTTTGAGAGTCACCCGAGCATCTTACTACCACTCCTTCTAGTCGCTGTACAAAGCGATAGTTGTCAATTTGGTCCGCCTTTTGTGCAGCCACTGTCGTCAATAGACAGTATTTTCCAAGTCGTTCTGCCTTGCCTCAATCCTACGTTGCATCGCTACCTATCCACTTACCTGCTGGATCAATAGCACGCACGTCGCCTATCTACCCTAAGGAACGTGTGACTCATCTGGACGCCACACGTCTGACCCTCCTGACCTCAAACCAGCGCCGATCGCCGCGCAACGAAAACTGAAGCGAAGTCATACACGGTGCGTCAGTCTCTCTATCCTCTTGCTACCCCTGTTGTAGTGTACACATCCAGTTACTCCATTCCATCTTGTTAGTGATGAATCTTTACACCATATCACCATCATCTGCGGTCATTCCTACTTCGCTGCCCCATCACTGACCGTGACCACATAATTCAGTAGAATTATCCATTCTAAGCTAGTGGTAAGTGAGAGATCTACAACATAGATTCTGAACTCTCCTTTTCTATCTTATCCCTTTTGGAATTGGTGCAAGTCAAAATAACAAAGTACACGCCTCAAGTGGATATGGCCCATTCGAAAATCAATTGTGACCTATGTGTAAAAACTGTTAAGTCTGGTCCAGTTTGCTTTAACTGTCAAAAAGCGTACCATTCGAAGTGTTTAGGGATGAGTGCACTCGAAACTAGAATATACAGCAGCAAGGCCGAAGCATTTTGGTTCTGCCAGGTGTGCAAATTCATTCTTGTCGTTAGTTGTGTAACTTTCCTAATGAAAAAGTGTGCAATGTTAGCGGAAACAGTTGAGCAACTTGTGAACGCTAGCAACGCACCTGTGAAAGTAAACAACGCCATACTTGAAACTGAACGGACACCGACAAACTCCCCGTTTAGGCCGAGGAAGAGGGCCAGGCATCCCAACCCCACCATTGTATCTTAGTCTCCAACGGCCTCTAGCCTCATGATTCCACTAAGTGAAAAAGTAGTTTATAACCCACTTGCTTCTACGTTCTCCAAGGGTGTAATAACTAGTGATTCAGTTGACATACTTGAAACACAAAACTAAAGCGAGCTTGCGGTAAAAGATAACTGGACATCCTACACAGCGGTTGCTTCTAGGAAAACGCCATCAAAGACACATGTGACTACACTTATCGAAGAGGTCAAAACTGTGCCTCAACATGGATCGCTATCGCCAGTGCGGTTCACAAATCCACAAAACACAAAATAACCTAGTGCTGTGAAGTCGCAAACCACAAGGCGGAATCATGGTACCTTAAGTCTTGTGTGCACTAACGTTCTTGAATCCAAATCCAACGCAATAAAGGGCAAACTGATAGACGATCGTAGTCAGTGGGATTCCATCTGTAGTGCCATCAGCATTCGCGCTAAACCCACTACGCTGAGCCGCATCGCAAGACACCCAAACAAGTTACACTACGGTGAACCTCGACTACTTCGAGTAACACTATATTCCGCGGAAGAAACGAAATCCATTCTACTCGCTGCAAATCGACATCACAGCGCATCGAACGGAGTATGTATCTTACCGGATATTCCGTGGAAGGAACGTTCAATGGATATGAACAATCAACAGGGAAGTAGAAAACACGCGCTGAAAACCGTCATTATTCATGGCGTCCCTGAGTCTCAAGCTTCATCTCCTGAAGAAGCTCAGGCACATGACCTGGAGCAATGGCGATACATTCGCGAGGCGTTGTCTTTAGAAAATGTCATTGCTACCTCCCTGACCAGGATTCCCGTGTCGCCAAATTACAAAGGGTGTGGTCCTAGGTTGCTGAAGTTGGTCTCACCGTCTGAGCTAACTTTACAGACAGTTCTAGATAATTGGGATAAATTTCGGAACATGCTATCAACAGAAATTCGAATTAAAGCAGCAAGTTAACGACCATAGGCTACTGGTTACTCCATGGAGAGAACCAACTCAGCGGGCACAACCGTTGTTGCAGAGTCCACCACAGAAACTGATCTGATTGTCGTCATAGCATCCGGCGAAGCACTGCAGGAGGTGAGTGACCATCAGAATCATCATGAACCTGATCACACGGTGCAGAGAGTTATCCCAAGTCATTTTCGCGAGCCTAAGACAATTCCAAAAAACTAGTAGCAGCCGACCTCAAGAGGGTCGGCCAAGTCTCAAACCTGTTGTCTATATCCACAAAT